TTTCTGTGTTTTTTTTTGTTGTCCCATTGAAATGCATTTAGAATTCTTAGATTTTAGCTAAATTCAGATAAAACTTCACCATATTTGACCTTTAACTACTTCAGCATACTTTCAGCTAGAAACACCATTCAACTTTTAAAATGTTTCCATATCTTTCTGCTATTACTGTTTAACTCAGCTTTTTGCTAACTTTTATAGGTTTGCTTCAGTGAAGCTTCAAACGTTTAAAGAATTTTTACAGATTTTCACATTTATAATGGAAGTCTATGGACGGAATGTTCAGCTGCTAGAGTGTGGTCACTAGGGTTTTCAAACAGTTCACTCATGCCAAACAGCTTCAACTCACTCACTCATTTCTCACTCTATGTAGAAAAATTATACATCAAAACATAAGTATTTTTGTCAGGATTCAGGAAATGTATTCCTCATTTGTGTGGGATTTACAGTTTTCCTACAGTTTGCCCTAGACCACGAAGAAGTCCACACTTCACCAATAGAAATCCAATGAGAGACTTTCCAAAAATCACAGACAAAAATCCAAAACGACACATATTTTCGTATTGCTGCCATTGCTAAACTGTTTGATGTACAAACATGAAACTTGGTATAGAACATCTTCAGACCCTACTAGCACTTACATTGAAGGATTTTTTTCAATATAATTTATAGTTTAGCTGTTTAGCTGACTTTTTCGGGTATACGAAAACGTTGATTGTGAGAAAAATCCTCAGACTAGGAAAAAACAAATTTTTACATCGTCACCATGGCCAAATAGCCTTTAGTAGGAACATGGCATTTGGCATAATCGAAGCCGAGGGATGGCTGACACCCATAGTAAAATAAGTTTTTGAATACCCTATACAGCTTTGGCTCACCACTTGTTTGTGGGGTTTTTCGGCACCTGGAAGCTCAGTGAACCTGAGGTGCGCATGTATTCCATTCAGACGAGAAGGTGGGACAAACCATTATGTTTCTCTTCCCATTAGGGTTTTAAAAGAGCTACAGACATGAATGTTATCCCAATCGGACACAAGGGATAGCTGTCACTTAGACGGAAATAATTTTTTGGAAACCATTTACGGTTTTGGCTCACCACTGGTTTGTTTGTAGGGTTGGTTTGGCTTTTGAGAGCTCAGTTCTAACAGGAAGCTACATATTATTTAATGAGAGGAGCAGGTGTGACACACCTTTTTATTTCTCCTTCCCATTAAAGTTGTGAATGAGCGAGAGCCATGAAAGTTACTCCTATTGGAGACAAGGGATAGCTGTCACTTAGATTGAAAGAATTTTTTAGATACCATTTACGGTTTGCCTTCAGCACTCATTTGTTCAGAGCTGTTTTTCCCATTCAAAAAAGCCTGAGAGCGAAGGAACAATAGTGCTGCGCTTTTCTCTCTGTCACTGACAGGCTCTTTAAGCATCCTCAAGGTAACCAAGCTTCAAAGGGAATGCCTACCTCTGCCACTTTATACAGCACATATTAATTTAATGGAGGGAGACAACACTGATTTAACATTTTGAAAAGGATGCTATATGACTACTGGCATGACCCTTCCCTTGACACTTAACCCTGATAGACTTTCAAAATAAGACTCCACTGACCCTACAAAATAAAAGCCTCTACATTACACTCATATATTTGTTGCAGCATATGGCTCAACATTATGCCACAAACTCAACCCCTTTTTAGAAATTAGACCTTAGGGGGCTTTTCAAAACACACCCCAGAGAAAATTTCAAAATAAAAGCCTCCCATTACCAGGGAGGCAATGGGGAAAAGAGTGATTTAATGACTGGAAAGTCATCAAGTATCATTGCTGGGTCTGACCTTTTTCTCAACACACAACCCTGCTAGACTCTCAAAATAAGACTGCAGGGACCCTACAAAATAAAAGCCTCTATATTGCACTGGTGTATTAATTGATGCAAATGGCTCAGCATTGTGACTCGAACTCCACCAACTAGTTTCTATTAGACTCTAGGGACCTTTTCAAAACACACCCCAGAGCAAATTTCACGATAAAAGTCTCCCATTTTCGCTCTAATACAGCATCTATTTACCCAATTACATGGAAAACCAGTGATTTCACATTTAGAAATGGATTCTATATCACTGCTGGGCATGACCCTTCCCTTGACACAAAGCCATGGTAGACTTTCAAAATAAGACTATGGGGACTGATAAAATAAAAGCCTCTTCCTTATGCACACTCATTTATTGTGCCGTATGGTTCATAGCTACGACCCGAACTCAACCAATTTCTTCAAATTACACTACCAAGGCCTGTTGACAACACACCTAAGTGCACATTTTTTAATGAAGCTCTAACGTTTCCACTGTAATAAAGCATCTGCTAACATCGTAAGCAGATGCTTTACTTCTGTCAACTTCCAGGTAAACAGATACTTTTGGACTTTTTCTTCTGGTTAATCAACTTTAAATGTTTTGCTTTTAAGATGAGTGTGTTTTTGCCATTATTTTGCCAAATGATTCTATCCTACAAAATCTTCAGATGATTCTACTGGTTTCTGCTGTTTAAAGTTTCTGATTACTTCCTATCACATTTTGATATGTTCTTCAGCTAATTTGTGCCTCTTTTACGTTATACAGTTTCTTTAGCTAACTTTTTATTTTCTCATTCAGCATAAAGCATTCCCACTTTGCTGTTTCTCAGAAACAGCTTTTTCTAGTTTTTTTGTTATTTATTTTCCTAGGAAGTCCAGCTCTACTGAAAATAGTAATATCATTTTGGTCTTATTAATAAAGAAAACCATGAAGGGTTATTAAAAATAAAAAAATTAGCATTGAAGTACCTCTATGTTGTTGATTTACTCATTTGTGTTTATGGATGTTCAACCCCTATTAGCTGGACTCCAATGTCATTATTCTTCCTGGTTTTCCCTACTTAGATACTCTCATGGTATTTTGAAATTTAAACTCTCTGAAACACTTTTTCCTGCATTTCTGAGGTCGAATGAAGCAAATTTTTTGTCTTTGTTACAACACTACTTTTGTCCTGATTATGGGAAGTATGTGTGCTTGACTAGAGGCGGAAATTTCATAAGAAAGACATGTGGTTTGGTGTTAGCTTTTCTTGTTTTAACATCCTTAAAAAATGTTAAATGACAATTGTCCTTCCTGGTAGGAAACAATGGGCATGGGCTGGCTAATTTGGGTAATAATCACTGTTGATCTTTGCATTGTTAAGTCGGAATTTAATTCTTTCAAACACACAAATAAAATACTAGAATACATATTGAAAGAACGGACAAAAGGACAAAAACCTCACTGCTCCTCATGAAGCCGAGGTTCACATCAGCCAGACTCTGCTCTTTTCAACAGTAGGCTGACAGGAAAGTGGGTATGAGAGGGGGGGGGGGAGACATGTGGCAAAGGACCACAGGTCGATTCAAACCCGGGTCGGCCACATTGAGGACTAAGCCCTCCGTACATGGGTCGTGAACACTAACCACTGCGCCACCTGCACACCCCTTACCGGGGAGGTTGAGGAGTGTTACTCCCCTATAGGGAACACCACCTCCTGTTCTCCTGTCTGCCAGTCCACGGGCACTTTCCTATAAGTAATGTTGAAGAGGAGTGTTAGCCACGACAGATCAAGAACATCTAGTGCTCTAAGGTATTCAGGAACATCTTGTCCACCCCGAAGCCTTGCCACTGTGGAGTTTTTTGACCGTCTCAGTGACCTCAGCATGAGTGATGAATGAATCAAGCGCCGAACACTCAGTCTCTTCTTTCACTACAGAAGGCATGTCAGCCAGGTTGAGGAGATCCTCAAAGTACTCCTTTCAGTGTCCCACCTCTTTCAGGGTCAGCTGATAACAGTTTTGACAAACCATTGCTTTCCCCTCCGGAGGTGCCGGAGGGTTTGTCAGAATCGCTTTGATGCTAGCTGATAGTCTTTCTCTATGGCCTCTCCAAACTCCTCCCAGGCCTGGGGTTTTCCCTCTGCAACTGCCTGTGCAGCGGCACACTTGGTCTCACAATAGGTGCTTGGTGCCTCAGGAGTCCTACAAGCAAACCAGGCTCGGCAGATTCCTTACTGCTGGTGGCCACCACCGAGTTCGGTGATTACTGCAACAAACCTTACGTCCACAGCTACAGGCGGCCGCATCGGCAATAGAGCCAGAAAACATGGTCCACTCAGACTCCATGTCTCCAGCCTCCCCTGGAATCTGGGAGAAACTCAGTTTCAGGTTTCATGGCTTGTATTTGGTTGCACATTGTATTTAGGTCAAGACTATCGGTTTTGTTGAGGTTTTGAGGAGACAAATGCAGAGGTGAGGAGCCAGAGGAGAGTTCTTGTAGATTTAATTAATAAACTGAGGCAAAAATGCAACAACCAAATAACACAATACATGGGACCAAAAACCAGACAGCTTCATGGGAAAACTTGTGTGGGGATTCAGGAAAAGACGAGAACCAGCACTAAGGAACTGCACAGGAGAGTATTTATGGGAGACAGAACAAAGAAAGGACTAATGAGCTGATTGGGAGCAGGTGTGAACAGAGGATCCTAGAAAGGAGCTAGGGAAAAGGAGACCAACACGAGGGCAACAGATGGCAACCAAGAGAAACATAAGAACTCAAATAAACCCAGAACACACTACAAAATAGGGACTAATAAAACTAGAAAAAAAACTCAAAAGAAAACTTAACAAAACTTAGACTGTGACAAAGACTGGATACTTCAAGCAAGAGAACATGTTTCATTTCTATCCTTTGTGATCTTGATTTCATATAAAGGCAGAAAAATTAATTATTCTGATTTGGAATGAAAAAATCTGAACTGTTCTATCAGCCCTCCTTTCCTGATTGGAAGGAATCATGTTATTAAGAATCAGTTGAATTTGAAAGTCCTGTAGAACAGGTCCTTTCTGTTCTTGGTTATTGTTTTTCTCTCTGTCTTCTGGAGGCCTTAACCTCATGCAGCTTTAGCATCTGTTCCTAACTAATCCCATATTCTCCCTTTCATTTGAAGTCATGGGCTGACGCATTTCGCAGCTCTCCCTCCCTGGTGGGAGTGGTGCATGTGTATGATGACCTAAGGCGGCGAGGTTTGGAGTTTCCCATGACAGACCTGGATGCACTCTCCCCCATTCATACTCCAAATAGGGTGAGACTGGCTATTACCTGGAGGTTTATTACACACACAAAGGGAATTGTTAAACTTGTGCTTATATTATCACTCATCTTCGTATCCTACAGAGCATACCAGAGAACGAGACCCCTCAGGGGACCTCTGTCACTGCTTCTACACTTCCATCACAAGAACAAACACCAGCTGCCTCTCCCAGTCAACATACCTCATCTTCAGTCAATGTCAGCAACGGACCGGTCCCTCTCAGTCCAGAACAGGTAAAACCCCCTGGAAGTGTATTGAACAAGAAGATCACTGGCAGAGTGCAGACCTCTGCCATGCAGCAAACTATCCCCCCAAATTGTGACTTACCTCTATATCTAAATCTCACACATGATCTGGATCATTCCTTAATTTCTAATGAATTGTTCTGCTAGCATAACCTCTGCTTAAAAAAATTTCCAAAAAATATGTTCATAAGTTTTAAATTGATCCTGCTAACAAACCACCAGCGTTCCCTTTTCTCATGTTTTTGTCTTCAGTAAAATACCTCCAGACTTTCTGAGTCCGATACTGAGGCTGTGAATAGTCACTGCATCAATCTTCTGGTTTAGTGGAGAACTGCTTATTTTCCCAAATATCCCTATCTCACAATATTGGAGAATCTCTGACAAAAATCCTGTATCCAGATTATAAATTGGATGATCACCCACATTTAATGGCTTGTTTTTGCTATGAGGGACAGACTAACACACACATTTTCTTTAAATATAACCTCTTTGGTTTACTCTTTATACTGTTAACAAGTAACTTTGCAGGTTAGAGTTGTTCTTATTGTCAAAATGACAATTTTTACACTGGAAGGTCTACCTGAAAAAAAAAAAACTCCTGTAACTTGAGTTCATAGAAACTTTATTTAAGACTGAAGGTCCAGCTTAAAAAAACCCCAACAAAAACCCAAGATGTTAGATAAAACCTAATGCATGCAACCTATTTTTTTATTTGTTTATGTTATTTGTACCCCTAAATAATTTGTTGCATTTTTTATTTTCAGTTTAATTATAAAATAATTATTCATGCTACATAGTAGTCCCTAAAATCTCTAAATTTAAGCAGTGTCTGAGAACTGATCTAGGCCTTTGCTACACTGCCCCATGTGGTGACATGTGGTTATTACATGGACTCATATTCAAAGTGCTTTGTAGCCTCAGAAGATCCCTGCAGACACTGCTTTAATGATTCTAGAGGTGATGTCTGTTGGTAGGCCATCAGCAGCTTTTAATGTTTCCTGATCAAACAACATCAGATCAACCCACAAAAGCTGAGCCATTCATTCAAACCTTATCCTATTCATTTTTTATTTTAATTTTAATTTAATTTTAATTTTAATTAATATGCTTTTTTTTGTATTATGAGGATTTTGTAAATTAACTTCACATATTTTGGGCATTATAGCCCAGTAGCAGTAAATACTTCATATTTATACCACTAATATATGGAGTATCAGATTTTTCTTAGACCACCGATAAAAATCCAGGAACATCCAAAACTTCAAACGAACCTAATTTAGTGACATGTTTTAATTCAACTGTTTAATATTGTCTTGTTTCAGGAGCAGAAACTGCGCAGCGAGCTGGCCCTGGTTAAAGGAAACCATGCGGTGATGTCCCAGATGTTAAACGAAATGATACCTGGACAGAGCTCAGCAGATGATGCAGACCTGCTACAGGTGGGTGTGTGTGTAGGGGTGGTGTGTGTGTGTGTGTGTGGGGGGGGGGGGGGGGGGGGGGGGGCAGTTCAGAACAATTGTAATTATATTTATTTATGTGTGGATATAAAAACATCATAAAACAGTGATCATTAAAATCCCAGTCTAAACTCTGCTGAGAAACCTTTCCTTCTCATTTCTAAAGCCTTCGCCATAGCTCTTACCAATAAAACAACATTACCACACTATCTTTTTATTCACTGTTTGCACTGCATTAACTTCCTTTTCCCCCCTGTGGACGTTGGTCTCTTTTAGTTTAGTTTTATGTTCTTCCAAAAATAACAAATAAAAATGAGAAATAAAACCTGATATATGACCTATTTTCCAACAGACTTTTACTTTCCAACTGGCCATTTTTCACTTTCATTATTTTATCAATCCGCTCTGTGCTTATTGCATTGTAATCTTCTTACTTTTGGTTTAAAAGAGCAACACATTGTATCTATGGGAGAATATGTAGATATTGACTCTTGACTCATTTATTGTCATCATAAACACTACTTTGCAGCAAACAAGGAAAATCTTGAGGTTAAATATGATCTAGATGTTTTACAAGGTCAACCTCTGTCTTAAAGCTGAGTGTCACTGCTTTATAGAATATGACCAGCGATCTAATGTTGCCTACTGGGTGTGATATGTTGCCCACTGTAAATCAAGTTTAAAAAAAGTTGAGTTAAAAATCAGTAAGCTAAATAAATTAATTAAAAAAAATAATTTAAAAAGAAAAAATCGAAGTTTCTGAATTAGCATTAATGTTCTTAGGGTAATGTAACATAAAAATTATTTATTTCTGTTTCTTTTTCACACTCTTTGTTTTTCTTCTTTTCCATGTGAGAATAAGTGACAATTTTTTGTAACTACATTGACCTTAATTTTTGCCATAATATATATTTATATAATTTTATTTTAAAAGGTGTTGTTCTGCCCCCTAATAAAACTGTTGAATTAAAATTTGAATTCCAAAGTGTTTCACTGAGTTCCCTGTAAAGGGTTTAAGATCTTTTTTTTTCATTCGTTTCTCATATATATTCTAATATTACAGCTCTTAAAGAAAATTAACAATTGACTTAAATCTTTGTCATCAAGTAAAACTTATAAGAAAATAAATAAAAACTAATGGATCAAAAATTGACGACAAAGTTCTTATTGGAGGTTGTGTTGTCTAAACCAGTCTGACATGGAAGGACTTGTGTGTTTGTAGAATCGCCCCGGCTGATCTGTTTTTATTCATTCTAACTTGAACCAAGCTTTCTCGAGAAAAAAAAAACTGGTGGTTGGTTAAAGGAATAGTACACCCAAAACATGATTAGCCTTCATTTTCTACTCACCCCCAGTGCTGAACAACACTCTGGAGTACTTTTTTGATATCTCAAATGCATCTGGAGATCTGGGAGGCTTCTTGCTGTCTGCTGACATTCAAATGATGGAGGTCTATGGTGCCCGAGACTGAAAGGTCCATAAAAGTCCACAAACAACGTGTCAATATTCCTCCATACTGCTCGTCCAATGGATTCCAAGTGTCCTGAGTGGGTAGCATCCAGAATTTACTCGAAACAAAGTCATTTAGAATGTTTTTAGAGCATAAACAGTAGTGTATAGGATTTCCTGAAAGCGCGCACCTGCGCGTTCACGACGCTACGGACGCCGGCAGACCAAACCAGATGAAAGTGCGCATTCAGCGTCTGCTCTGCCAATAATGCAAGCGTAGAAGAAGAAATGTGCTGTTTACTTGTGCAAAGAAAGAAACAACGAAAGAAAAATGTCTGAGGACTTCAGTGTTGAGGAAGAGCATGAGTTCTTTGCCGAGCTGAATGCGCACTTTCATCTGGTTTGGTCTGCCGCGGTTTCCGTAGCGTCGTGAACGCGCTTTCAGGAAATCCTATACACTACTGTTTATGCTCTTGTGGACTTTTATGGACCTCTCTGCCTCGGGCGCCATAGACCTCCATTATTTGAATGTCAGCAGACAGCAAGAAGCCTCCCAGATCTCCAGATGCATTTGAGATATCAAAAAAGTACTCCAGAGTGTTGTTCAGCATGGGGGTGAGAAGAAAATGAAGGCTAATCATGTTTTGGGTGTACTATTCCTTTAAGCTGTAAATCCATTCCTTTAGTCTTTTACTGTCCTCAAAGTATTTTAAAACAGGCTGGACATGTGTCCTTTATTTCAAGATCTGAAGTGTACCACTGAAAATCCAGAAATGTCGATATATGAAGTGACTCTTTCTCCCTGCTGCTCTGCTCAAGCAGCAGCTGTTTTCTGTGTGTAAGAAGATGCAGAGTCGTGTGGTTGAGCTGATCCCAATGCTGGTGGATGAAAGGTTTATGGAGGAGTTACTGGTGGTAAACGACGACCTCAACAATGTCTTCATTCGCTATGAGAGGTGGGCTGCAGCGGATCTGGTTGGATGATTGGGCATTAGGTGTAAAACTACAACACATAACCGTCTACTGTACATTTCTGTTAGGTTTGAACGGCTGAACAAGGCTCAAAGTTCAGATCCTCAACAGGTAAAAATAATTATAATCCGTCTAATGTGTTTGGGACTGAAAGCAGCTTTAATGGTGTTTTTTTCCCCTCTCGGTTAAAGTGATTAATTACGACACAACTTACTTCCAGATCTCTGCTAGGAGCCCAAATTTGGTTGATACCATCCCTGAACCTCTGAACAACAAACAGGCCGCTACCATCACAGCAAGCATCCAACCAGCCGCCAGCGCCCAGACCAATCACCAGCTATCAGCCAATCACAGTGAGCAAACTCCCCATGACCTTGGTTTCAAAACAATCTATCAAGTCTCTTGTGTTTTTTGTTTATTTTTTTTTGCGTTTTATCTGTGGAGGGAAACGAGATGTTGAGGCTGAATCACATGAGTGTGTTTTGAATAGACTACATGCAAACAAACGTCATAGTGATTAATCCTAAGCATGGGAAGCAGTTTGAGGGAAATATTCCCTCTGTGCTTTTTGAACCTAAGCTGGCTTGGATTTGTTTTAATTTCTAAAATGATCCTTTGCAGAAGAAGAGGAGGAGTTTGACATGTTTGCTCAGACCAGAGGCAGCTCTTTGGCTGAGCAGAGGAAAAGGTAAACATCATTTATCATCTAGCACTTTTCGTAAATTGATTTGATGCACAGCACTGATGATATCTATGAAAATACTCTTAAATAATATAATATTATTATTAGAGCTAACAATTAATCATAGAGCACCATTTATGCATCCTTAATCCTTTTCACAGATCTGCATGCATTCACTTTTTCTTTGCTTGTAATGATTTTCACTGTAAGCTTCACTTCTACTAAAGCACTGCTGGTTTCTGCGTTTTTACAATGAAGTATTTGTATGTATTTGCGTCTAGCGTCAGATATGAAGATCCAGAAACTGTAGAAGGACTTGCTGAAGCTCTGGACTCGAGGCTGCAGGTCACAGGAGGGGTGCGTACACCACAGCAGTCATCATGTTTAAAGGAGTTTTTGCAGGAGATTTCATTCTGTTTTGTTTTTATTTTCCTTTTCCCTCAGATGGTGCCGGAGAAAAATGCTCCGCAGAACGACATTGACAAATGGTTATCTTCTGATCTGGTAATCCAAAGCTTGTATAGATCATATGTAATGTTAGCAGATAATTACAGTAGAGCGCGTTATTTATTTTCTTGTGTTTTAATAAAGCAGGAAGGTCAATCCTCGGTTTGTGAAGGAGTTTCCAGTGAAGGTTGGTTTTCCTCCTCTTGGTTTTCTAATATAGTAAATAAGAACCATTCTCAACATTTAATCAGTTATGCTAGAAGATGAGTTCATGACGTCTCTGTGTTTTTAGAGTTTGACAAGTTTCTGGACGATCGGGCGAAGGTGGCGGACCAAAGCAACCTTTCAATTCGCACCGTGCCATCCGCCACGCCTAGACCTCAGCCCACCAAGAAGCAGGATGCCACACATGACCAGCTCTTTTCTCTTTAAAGAAGATCTAACACGTGCAAAAAAAAAATGAACTGCTTCATGGTCAAATCATTTTATACAAAAAATGCTTTATTTCCTGTCTTTATGTACATACATACCATTTTATGTAACTCTATTTAAAAATTTACTATAATGTCAATGTGAACAGAAAAAACCTTAGCCTGTATAGTTAAGTAGTAATTAGTAACAATGATGTATAAAATCTATATGATGATGTGCCTTCCAACTGGAGATGTGACGCAGCAGGAACTAAAATAAACGGTAAACACTTCTCTGAGCATGTGGCGCCTTTAATTTGAAATAATATTTCTGCTTCGAAAAAAAAGAAAAAAAAAAAAACTTGTTCAGGATGTCGGCCATTTGGCTGTTCTAGTGCAACCCAGCATATTAGTAGGTGTGTCCTGGAAAACAGTGCTTTTTAGTATATTACTAGTTTTAATACTGAGATGATAAAATCTCAGAACTAGATCATCTGTAATAACATTCCTTTTGTGTTAAAATCATAAATAAACTGATTTGTTAACTTACTAAACAAGTGAATGGAGATATATTGAAGTAGGCCAACATGTCTGGTATATTTATTTTATTTTCCAAGTTTGATTTATTTCTCTTTTTTTATTGATAGTTTTTTTTTACTTGTGTTAAATATGTTGAGGTTTTGGCTTTTAGATGAAATTTTTGTAATTACTATTTTTATCTTCTTTAAATACACCCAGATCTAACTGGAAACGAAAAGTAACGACAATTGCCTAAAAAGAAAAGCATAATCAAAAACAGTTTAAAAGATGTTTTATTTTTTTATTGTCATTAAATGAACAAACCAATGACAACACAGCTGTTACACAGTCAGATTGGGGAGTGTTGGCCTAGTGTTTAGAGCACTGCGCTTGTGCTCTGAGAAGGTTGAAAGTACCCGGTTCCGTCCCCACATCCTGCACTCTGGGTCCCTGAGCAAGACCCTTAACTCCACACTGCTCCCCGTGCGCCGCACGATGGTAGTCCACTGGTCCCCAAGGGGATGGGTTAAATGCAGAGGTAAATTATCAATAAAGTTCATTTATTATTCTCTGATGTTATTTCACCAAATCCCTTCATCTCATTTCAGAAGAATTTTTTTGCCAGTAAATGACTTCATCATTTTTTTATAAGTACTGTTCTGTGTTTGGAGAACGAGTGATGTTTCAAAAAGTGGCCTAATAAAATAAAAAAAAAAAGCTGAATTCAAAGTTTTTTTTTCCCAATTATAGATTTTTGCCAATATATATGTGAATGAAATGTGAGAGCCTGTACTGTAGGAGTACTCACTAATATTTTTCTATGATAACACTCTAAATTTTGCCTGTTTTTGTTCGATGGCTCAAGGATGTCTGGCTTTGGGTGCTCATATTCCCTGAAGTATCAGAATCCCAGCAGATATGAAGGCAGGCTTGGTAGATAAACATTCATTTGCTCATGCTGCCTTTCCTAATGCTGACCATGTGGGCTGCATTATATTTTGCTGCTTCAACTTGACTATGACTGTCCTGCCTTTTTCTTTTGCTCATACTTTTTAATCCCAGGTCAGCTTCCAAATGGGTCTGTTGATAAAAGCCAGGAGGATTTGGACTTTCCTCTCTCAGACTATCAACTAGCTGCCTTGGCATAAAATGTAATCATAGTTTTTCAGGGTCATGGGAGCCTGAGGCAATCTATATACAGAAGCTGCAGAAAGAAGCTGCAGACCTGGACCTCAGCCCGCTTCCCTCTGATGTTACAGAAACATTCAGAGGTTGGCTACAGGGCTCTGCTATGTGTAAACTAAATCACCGCTGGATAGACCTGGACCCAGCATTCTGGCCATGTTGGCTGTGACAGACTGATTGTGAAAGGCCCGAAAAGAAGAGAAGTGGCTCTTTTCCAAGAGGGATGAAGTCTGTGCAAATTTAGACTGCTGAAATGAAGATCCCCTAAGGGAGCTGCCTGGAGATCAGCGATGCATCCAAGGACCTTAAAGCGGAAAAGTGCGACAGCACTGAGGAAGAGACGAGAGAAGCCTTCAGAAGACCTCTATGGAGACAAGTGCCTTATCCTATGGCCACCTCATATGTCTGATCATGTAAATAATTTTTCTTTATTCTTCTGAAGTGGATTTCCTTCCTTTTACAAACATTGCTTGTATTTCTTTTAAATGTTTGTATTTTACTGTTGGATTTAGTTGACAGACAAAATGGAATTATTTTGCTGCCCAATGTCACTGCCTTCAGGGATCTAATGTATTAAAAGTCTGCATTTCTTTAAAAATCAATGCTTTCTATCTTTTTTTGCTCATAAATATTTTAAACAGTCACAAAGTATTTAATGTTTTCCTAAACAGCTAAAATAGTTTTAAAGTAGTTATTCTTTACTGATTTTAAGAAGTGCTCTTTTATATATTTGTAAATAAAGCCTGGCTCCATGGCTTGTCATTACACACCACCCTGATAAAAAGTAAGTTGATTTTTTTTTTTTTACCTGTATAAACACAGTTTCCTAGAATGTTGTTTGAGCAGGACCCATTTTGCATTGCAAAAACGATCTAGAAATAAGTAAATAAAATTCTTAATTTAAGTGTATTCACCCTTAATTTGAGTAGGTAAATGAGATAGTTTGCCAATGGAATGAGTAATTTTACTCTTAAAATAAGATAATTAGATAATATGTACTTGAAATAAGACGATGCAATTGTGTTTTCTTATTTTAAATGTAAATTGTCTTGTTCCATTGGCAAAATGTCTCCTTTACCTCCTCAATCCAAGAACAAATGCACTTATTTTAAGGAAAAATTACTTATCTAGATTTAGTTTTTTTGCAGTGTGCACACATGGCACTGGTCCATCATTTTTATTGTGTTTACAAAATGATCATTTTTATACAGAATATGTCAATTACAGTAGAGTTATTTTTTTTGTGACTTCTTCATTTGCAGCTATGTTTTATTATTGTTTTAGTTTTTGGTGAAGCCCAAGGCAATGCAATATAAGCAGATGTATAGGAACTGTCAGAAGTCAGATTTTGAAATATATTATTTTACAACTTAATACATCACTGGTAATCTTATAAATTAAAACTTGAAATCAGAACCAACCCAAGGCTTCAAAGTTATTGGTCGGATTTGTGCACAACAAGGAGTTTCATTACAGCACCTGTTTTCTTTCTTAAGTCCAAATCCTGGTATGGATAGATACATTTAGAGGAAATTATATAAAAAAAAATTTAAATAAGAAATTTTGAATACATTTCAATATTATGTAATTTGGGGGAATCTGCAAAGATACCAAAAGATGATGGATGCCTTTTTTTTTTTTTTTTTACTCAGTTGAAGAAATTAATTCATTTCATTTTTTTAATGAAATAAAAAGTTGAAAAGAATTACATTTAAGTAGATTGTTAATAAGTAAAACGTCACATAATGCATTCGTTGTAAACAAAAGAACTCCCTATGTAAGCGAATATGTTTATTTAAATTCAAGTATGTCTTGCACATTAGCCAATAAAAGGTTCCAGGCGCTGCTCAGAATTCCGGGGATCGTGAACGCAGCAGTCCACCCCAGCTGAACGGTGACTGTACACATTCAAGATGGCTTCTGCGATGGACGACGAGTTTGAAGACGCACCTGATGTCGAGCCTTTAGAGCCAACTCTGAAGAATATAATCGAGCAAAAATCTCTGAAATGGATCTTCGTTGGCGGGAAAGGTGGTGTCGGTAAAACAACATGTAGGTAAGTCAATGGAGAAGCTCTTAGCGACTTGAGTTAGCTGAAAAAGCTATCTGAAGCTAGCTGTTGATTAACGTAGACTTTGGGTATTTTTTTATTTTTATCTAAGTTATGTCAGTTTTATCGATGTGGACATTTAAGTTTATTTAAAAAAATCCTCTCTCTACTTTATTGCGATTAAGTTGGTGGTAATTATCAAATGCCAGGTTGTTAAATTCCATCTAGCACAGTCAGCAGCTAAAGTTAGCAAGCTGGAATAATTTAACGGTCTCCCTTCTTTTAAGCATAACCTTGGTAATCGTTTGCGTATTTTCTTCTCTTTAATCGGGAATTGTAAGATGTAAGTTTTGTTTACGAGCATTTTAAATTCAGTGGTCAACCATGTGATCCAAGAAACAGCAAGGTTAGCTTTAGCCTTCGAGCTAAACATGTGAAAGCATGACAGCTGCATGTCTGAAACACACCTTCCTTTATTTGACATTCAAACTGGGCTGTCTCCCCTAAAATTAAAGTCGTTTATTTTTCTACATTATTTTATTCAGATTGTAAAGGTTTTTTAAAACATAAAACTAAAAGCCAAAAAAGCTAAACAGAACTATTAACCATCCATAGAGCTGCATGCTATCATGAAACCATATTATATATATATATATATATATATATATATATATATATATATATATATATAATGAGTAAACAGATCACTGCTTGTCTAACCAGCTGGGGATTCAATGGGAAGCCTGTTTAGCCACTCAATAAGATGGTTTTATGGAAAAACTTCCTTCAGGGAAATTTCTGTTTGGCAGCATGCTAAATGTCAACTTTTTATCTTGATTCACAAAATGTAGACAATAAGTGTCTGACAAATCTTCTTTCATCCTTAGCTGTAGTTTAGCCGTCCAGCTGGCTGCAGTCAGGGAGAGTGTCCTCATCATATCCACAGATCCTGCCCATAACATCTCTGATGCTTTTGACCAGAAATTCTCAAAGGTGCCTACTAAAGTCAAGGGCTATGACAACCTGTTTGCCATGGTGAGTTTTTCAATCGAGAGACCTCTAACATGTCAGGATGTGGGTCAGTAGAATATGTAGCAAGAGTCTGCAACCTTTACAATCCAAATGGCTAAATTTGCATTCAGTCCGGCTTAATAAAACTTGTTTAGTCGTAATAACCTTTTTAAACATGAAAACTCAACAACAGTTTTTGAGTATCTACTAAAGGGACTTAGAATAGGGACTTTAAAAAATGAGGAAAAAAACTACACTTTTGCAAAAAGGGGATAAATATATTTCCTTGTGTAAGATCTTGATGTTTTTGGCCAATTATGAGAAAAACGGTTTCCAACTTAAAAAAAAAAAAAAAGACTTGCATACTTCTGGTGTCATTTCTCTTGGAAATTCAGTGCAGTAATTAAATGGACGGATAAAATGCATTTCTTATATCTACCTAATTTCTAAAACTATTTGGTGCGTATGATCTTTAGCCAGAGTTATGATGGAAAATTGTGGAAAGACCAAAGAGCCATTTGTGCCTCTTT